TGATATCTAAGAACAAAAAGTTTGTTTCGTTACCTATAGTAGGTACTGTTTTCTCGCAAATGTGTTGAAAAACGTTGTATGACACACATACGTAAATTAGGATTAGATCCGTCTACGAGTTTGTAAAAACCAACTTTCCACATAGTATCATAAGTACCTAACTATTTTTCTGTGTATTAGGAATAATTTATTTTGAGCTATAGAGGCGGTAATTACAAACCGCAGACGTAAAAGGAAACAATGTCAGTAATTGTGTAATTAATTCAGTAATAATAATTTAATTACAAAACTTATATTTTCATTTTAAACGTATTTATAAAAATAATTAAAATGTGATAAATAAATTGCACCAATTTCATTGGTGCCGGCGGGGATCGAACCCGGGTTCATCGCGTACTGTGATACTTACAGCGAGCGCTAAACATCTGAACTACCACGGCTCTCAATGAACATCTTATAAATAAATAAATAATCAATAAAGATTTTCAAAACAGTTTAATTATTTATTCGACGACTTTTGCGGCGGACAAACTAGGTATATTATGTAGGATTATCATAGATACCTACTGTTACTTTACCTACAACCTACAATACAACAAACTGTCACAAATCATTGCTGCGTCGTGGACACTAAAATGTAAACTTTAGGTAGGTACGTCGGTACTAAGAAAACAATCTTGATGGGTCACTTGTCTTGATAAAAACCTGTGTTTACGTTTAGTGATATTGAGTATACAACACAAACACACACAAACACTCACGCCTGTCACCCAGAGGGGTAGGCAGAGACTACGGACTTCCATTTGGCGCGATCCTGACACACCTCTCTCGCCTCCTTTACATCCATATAGCTACGCATACACGCTCGTCGGTTAAGGGTACTCCTAATCTGGCCCATTTTCAATGTATCGCCGATTTGGTCGATAAATCTTCGTCTAGGGCGTCCCTTCCCGACTCTGCCGTTCACTTCTGAAACATAAATTTACTTTGTCACTCTTTCCTCGTTCATTCTTTCTACATGACCAAACCACCGAAGCATTCCTTCTTTAATCTTGGTCACAACGTCATCTTGCAAACCACACTTTTCTCTTATCATACTATTTCTCACCCTGTCATTCAGATTCAGCCCTAGCATACTCCTTAATGACCGCATTTCTACAGCATTTATTCTATTCTCATGCTTCTTCTGCCAGACCCAACTTTCACTACCATACATTAAAGTAGGGACTAACACAGCACTATGAATTGCCATACGTACCTTCTTTGACACATTCTGACAACACGTAACATAATTAACGCACTTTGTGAATGTAGTTTGTTCAGAATCGTTTACTGAATCGGTTTCTATCATTTTTAATATAGGTAATTTTTTATCCCAAAAATAATTGAAACTACGTAATTTACAGTCACGCCTAAACCTGTACAGTCAAAACAAACTGAAATGGACCGTAACTCAAGGCAATAAGACTTTTAAAAGTGAGTTTTACTTGTATTAATACAAATTCCGTCATTCAATACAAAATAAAGAAAATTGAACCTTATTTCAAGTATGTTAAAGTCTTTACAAATACAGAGTTTGGAGTGCCTTATAAAGGTCGCGGCGGCCAAGCCACTGACCTCCCAGATCAGCTGATTTGACGCCTCTTGACTTTTTTTATGGGGATGTATTAAATCATTAGTTTACTTTAGTGAGCCAACAAGTGCTGAGGACCTTTTTGTGACGATTTTAGAATAGTGAAAAATGACACTGAATTGCTTTATAAATTATTTTCTTTCTTTTTTAAAACGTAACCTCCACACTAGGATTTTCTCTTGTATTGTGGGGGCAGTGTACAAACATAAATTGCACAAGGTCAAACATCCAGACCCGGAACAATTATTTGTAGGCCATACAAATATTGTTCCGTGCGGGATTCGAGCCCGCGGTCCTTAGCGCTGCAACTCAATTGCTAAGCCACTGCGCCACGGAGCCGTTGTGGTTTAAATACAACGTTGCATGAGAGTTTAGGCTATCAGTAAGTTAAATATTTGATTCTTAAAATTATTGTAATCTTGATTCACATCTTTTAAACACGCCGTCTTTGAATTATGTTAGTTTTAGCAGTTCATTATTATTTACAAATACAATTAAAATGTTATGCAAATTCAAAAAAAAACTAGCAAGTACCTACACCTAGCGTTCGTGGTTTTGTACGGTGACCACAACATTCTTCCGGAATTAGTATAACTAATTTAATAAATAATCAATGCATAAACATGTTTTAGTAAGAATATAATAATAATTAAAAATAATGTATTATGATACTAACATAATATACTAATTGGGGTGTCTGAGGATGCGCGTTAATTACGTTAGATTTTGTACATAAAAAAAGTAAGAACACAGGTTAGTAAGTATTGTAGAAAACAATTTATAGATAGGCTGAATTAATTATAATTATTATCTAAACATTATAAATGCGAAAGTTTGGATGTTTGGATGGATGGATGAATGGATGTACGTTACTCAATCATGCCAGAACGGTTGAAGGGATCTGGATGATATTTTGCTCAGAGATAGGTTTATATAACACATATGATACCGTTTATTCAGGTATTTCGTTTCTGTTGCATAATTTTGGAGTTACATGCGTTCGAAGCCGATGGCAACAGCTAGTACGGACATAAACTGCGATGACTGTTCAAGTTCATGTGTCGGCGTCGTGAACTCTTGAGTGATCGCTGCATGAACACCCGGGGAAAACTCAACTTCCCTCTCCAATGAGTCATATATGACTCACAGGAACGTATTAGAATAAGTTCATGAGTCACAGGTGACTCATTTCTCAATACAACTTAAAGCACATTTGTTGGTATGAACGTGACGTGATATTGTTTTAAATCATACGTGGACGTATAGTAAAAAACCTATTGTTTATAATAATAAAAGAAAACTTCGCAATTTTTTTTAAAGTTGTCATTTAATAACTACAATAAACTTGCTATAAATAAAACTCAAATACTGAAGGTGAGGATTTTATTCAAAGAAAATATTATAAAATCAAGCATGTTTCTCATTATAACATTCTAAACTGAATGCCTTTTCACACCTTTTGCACTCAGTGTGTACTTGCTTAGCGTTTCTAGCCAATAATCCTTCATTTTTCAATTTGACATAGCAGTGCATCTATTTCGTACGAGTTTATTGTCGGCCTTTCGTGGTATTTCTTCCAGAGAATGTCCAGAATTGCTTGAAGAAGCAATTGAAGATCTTGGAAAGCTACAGGAGATTGAAGATCTTTGAGGAAGATTACTTTCTGTGGTTGATGCTGCAGGTCCAAGAAAATGTCGAACTAGATGTTCTTGGACTTGTAAAATTATTACATAAAATTATTATAATAAATTATATAATAGTTCGATTCTATAACTATCAATTTTGCAAATGCATCCTTAATTCTAGTGACTAGCGACTAATAAGTAAGTCAGGTTGCAATGTTATTGATTACTCTATGTTTCTTTGATAGATATTTTAGTTTTGTTTGTGATTATTATTTTGATATAGTGAAGCAGTGTTTTTGTTTTTCAAGTCCACCTTAGACAATATCGTCGCTGCCACCGCCAAAGAAACGAAACGGCAACGTCGCGGATTTTTTCAGCCAATCCGATCGTTTGATGTGCTCTGATTGGCTCATTTAAATCGGATCAACATTTTGCGTAACTATCGCAAGGTGGATTTGTATATCAGATCAACTTCGGGGAACGCTAGTAAGTAGTCCCGTGAGTGTAGATGTTGATCCTGTCGGAGCAACATTAGTTACCAGAGATGCATATTGGATCAAGAAAAGGCGTCGGATCAACATACATTTTCGGATCAACAAAGTGCTCGCGTGAAGTCGCGTCTGATCAACATTTACCGTGAAGAGATCTCTATATATATATATAAGTCACTGTCTCGAGCGCACCGCGTCAGTTACACGAGAGCCTCGGGCGAGAGTGGACGTTTTTATTTAAGTGCGTGCCGAGCCTATGTTACACTACAGTGATTAGAGAAGATAGCAGACAATACTTGGCACCGCTGAAGGGACTGTAGCACCGCCTATATTTCGACGAAATCAAAGGCTTTCTCATAGTCCACATACGCCAGGCATAGTGGCAAATTGTAAAAGCGTATATTGCCCCATAAATGAATTAATACTCGTAATTTTGTGGAGTCTAGTAACTGGTATTACAAGCTTATGTTTGTTCCTAGTGTTTAAAGTATGAACATCTTTATTCTTATCAAAGCTATTTATGTTTCTATGTACATACATTACATTTTTATAAGTATATTGCGATGCCAAAATTATTTTTTTTTTGTTTTTTCTCTAATGGGTTTATTACAATTTAAGTTATAAATCGCCCATACGCACCTCTTTTGCAAAACAAATGCGACTTCGATGTCAGTCGCATTACCCCGTAGCGAAATTCCATAAGATATCACGCTATGAAAATATGTAAAATAAACTAATCTAGCTGTCTCAAAAACAGTGGTATTCACAAGACTCAACTCTTCCCCATTTAAGAGCACCCTGAAGTATGTTAATATTTAGGTTTTTGTTTAAACTACACATTTGTGACCGTATATTATCATAAACTTATCTCATGATACTTATAAAGTGTACATGTCATCAAAACATATACACTTTTTAAGTAACACTATGCCAGAATTTGTGTGGAACTGCCACAATCCAAAAGCATTTGATAGACCTGTCAGGTCAGCTAGTATTAAATAAAAATGATTTTTATTTCAATATGAATATTTAATTCACTTTTATGTTTTTTCTTTTACGGGAGAAATAAAATAGAAGAAACACATTCGTAAAGTTGTAAAATATATTTCGTTTGAAGTAACATAACTTATTGTTAATTTTTATTAGTATATACATGATTTTGATTAACCATAATCTAAAATAAATACTCCATGAAAATCGTAGTTCTGGTTGATATATTTTTGTTGCTTGAACAAACAGAAGACCTTTAATTCAATGCCGATGTTGAGAATCATATTTGTGTTCATGGTGTGGTCGATGCGATTTAAGGTTATGTGTAATTGGTATATGAGGGTATGGATGTCTGTACTTTTTTTCACGATGACCATAGGGAAGGTGATGGCTGTCAACATGTTCATGGTGATCATCAAGCTTATGATCATGCATATGTTGATTGTCATGTTCACGGTGCTCTTCATTATGACCACCCTGATGTCGATCGTCGCGGTCACGATGTTCATCATAATTACCATGAACATAATGGTCGTTCTGGTCATGGTGGTCATAAATTTCGTGTCCGTGATGTTTATCATTTGCATGTTTGTGTGCTTGGTGTTCTGATATTTGATGTTCTGCTTCATAATGTTCTGGTTTTTGGTGTTTATAAACATGGTATTCATGTTCATATTGGTTTTCATCATGGTGCTCATGTTCGTGATGTTCCTGCTCCTGCTCATAGTGTTCTGGTTCCTTATATTCATGTTCTTCCTGTTCTGTTTCATGGTCACCATGAAGAAAATGGTGAAGTTCAGGTTCATGGTGCTCATCATGTTTATCTTCGGAGATATGTTCATGTTTGTGGTTAATAACCACATTATGTTCTGATACAGGTACATGATGCAGTTCTTCTTTACTATGATCTTCATGGTCTTTATGATCGATGTTATGAACATGATAAATAGGCTCAGAATATTCTACGTTGGCCTTAAAACTGGAAAAATAAATTATCAATGTTATACTAACTATACGGGAAGTGGGGAATAAATACTGGGTATTTGCACTAGTTATATTAATTTGCATTATTTCTTGGACACAGAAATATGTCCGTTATTAATTAATAAGTGTCATAGTTGAATAAGGCCATAATGACATCGTAATTTTAGTAAAAGATTTGTTTAAATTACCCGCTGTGCTCGTCGGCGTGGTACTTGACGGTGCGTTTACGACCATCAGGTTGTATGAGCCAGTACATCCCCTTCACTTCATCACCGTGTCTAGCTTCATGATGACCTTTATGGTCATGAGTGTGGGGATCATCAACTTGGTACGAGAACTCATATGATGGATACGCCCAAGCCTAAAAGGAACAAATAATTAGTTATAAAAGTCAAGTAGGATGTCAAACTATTAAGTGTACCGGTAAGTATTAACACCTATATCCTAAGTTAATAATCAAAATGCAGATACGCTTTTAGCCCTATAGATTAAGACTAGTTTACGTCATACATCCTACAGAATACAGAAGGATTATGCCACTATTTTAAACTGGGCGAGATGGTCTATGCGTTCTCCAGTCATAATATATTTGCAGCGTGAATTTATAGATTTTTAGAATTTTTAGAATTATACATCCAAAATATTGCAAAAGAAAATAGGTCTTTGTTTGTTGTGACTTGTAATACGTATCCTGCATCCTAGTAATACGTATCCTGATGTATCAGCGTTACATCAAAAGAGGAGTTCGTGGCCCTCGCCTTAGAATAGCTTTATATGTTCTGCGTATCATCATTTGGCAACTTCCTGTCACATTCGTTGAAGTCAAGTTGTTGATAGGGCCGACATCAGCCAGGGTAATACTAAAGTAAAGGCAAAAACCTTTTACGCAGAAAAACTCCCTCTAGCTCTCGCTGTGCGATTTTGAGCTTCCTAGTGAATGATCTCGTCTCAGATTCATATGTCATTACTAGTATCACGCAATGGTTGTACACTATCGTATTCAAGTTTTGAAGTAAATGAGACGACAAGATGTGTCGTGATTTCCCTAACACAGCTCAGCCGAGTTAAATCCGTCGATTGACCTCGCGATGAAGTTGGACTTACCTAGTCGGAAAATTTTTCTTAGGTAAACGCTATTATTTTTGTGAACAATTTCAAGCGTAGTGCTCAACAACTACCGGCATATTTGTAACACAGACGTTATACGTTACGTTTTTGTTATTCATTTGAATAAATATCCATTAATTTTAAGAGACACTTCTAGTTCAATGAGCATATTGCTGACTAAAGAGCGATTCTGTCATAATGACAATATCGGCGATAATCGAAGGTGAGTAATGTACTCGCTATTGGTTTTGATACCGTTTACCTTTTATTAAAGTAGTTTCAAACGTCTTTCAATACAGCAGTACAGAGTGTCAGGAATATAATATTGATATCACCCTTACAAGTTGCACCTCTCTGCAGTTTCGTACACTTATTCTACACTCAATAGCTATCATAGCCCTGTACACTACGTACATGTTACTATACAAAAACACTTCGATATACCGAGATTCAATCTAACACCGCCTAAGGGACTATGGCATTGTCCAAATTTGGACGGAATTAAAGGTTAGGTCCACTTTTTATAGCGCTTCTTCTGGGCGAAAGTGTTCGTAAAGAGTCCCTCCTTCTATATGAATTCGAAGCTCCTGAATTTTGCGTTAGTCTCCCATTAACACCATATAGTGGGTTTTGGAAAATGCCATGCATTTTTAGGGATATTCTCATACATTTCCTCAATCCCCTCATTGGGATATGCTAAAGTTGGCACTCAAACCTGTATGATCGTTGACGACTACCGTTTGGTGGTACTGCGTTTAAGGTACAAACCTTGTCGACTAACTCGCAATCTTTATAACGTTGACTTTAGGTTGATAAATTATACACCTCCTTAGGACAGATAGTCGCTATTCCGGTGATAGAACAAGTTGTAGTTGAATTACACGAGTATCACCGTGTCCTCTCCCCCTCTTCTGATCTCTGATAATTTTATAGTGCCCCAGCGCAACTTGCAATCTCTTCTTTCAGTACTAGGATCTCTGCACTCCTCATCTCCTCACTCCTGTGTGTTATATGTTGCCAGGTCGATTCGTTTAAGAGGGTAACCAAACTTCTACCGGAGATTCTTAGCACTTATTGTCCTACCGTTAACATTGTCACCACCATTGTAGCGAGGCCACCGGAAACTGGGGGCCGCCTCTTTGTAACTTTTTTCATGCAGAGATTATTGCCATGTTTGCTAAGCTTGTCAAACAGGCTGGCAACCGTAGTTGAATTTCTTTAGTTCTTACCAGAAAAATTCTGCTGCCATCTCCACCCCTTGGCTTGTTTCCCGCTGTCGCCTCTTACGAAACCCACAGGATGATATGTAGTAGTAAATATTCTAATACTGCCGCTACACGGAACGTTTCCTTTAGCTTTAACTATTAAAATATACTTACGTATTCTTTATGATGTTCAGGAGTATTAGATCCAACGTGTGAAAGTTCACCATGGTGACCATAATGTTCGTTAACATAGTATTCATGTCCTTGATGGTTTTCATCATCTTGCTCATGCTCGCGATGTTTATGATCCTGCTCATGGTGCTCTGGTTCCTTATGTTCATTAAGGTGATTCTCGGGTTCGTGGTGTTTGTGTTTCTCATATTCTTTATCATTGTGTTTCTCTTCATGGTGATTTTCAGGTTCATGGTACTCATGTTTATCTTCGGAGTGAGGTTCGGGTTTGTAATGAACATCTTCATGATGTTCGGATTCAGGTTCTTCTTTATGATGATCTTCATGATGTTTGTGATCCTTGTGATGAACATGATAAATAGGCTCAGAATATTCAACGTGGGCGTTAAATCTGAAAAAAAAATTAAGAACATTTGTAAGGCTAACAGTTACCCGTTACTATTACAGCACTTCGACATGTGTTTTGTGTTTATTGTTGTTAAAATTTACAAATGTTATACGAAATATAGGGGAAAAGAGGATAAGTGACTTGGTATTTGTGCTGTTTATGTATATTAATTTGACACAATAATATGCATGCTTAGCTCAGCATATTGTTACGTGAACACAAACATTGTCATAGCTGAATGAAGCTATCATAACAACGTAGTTTTAGTAAAAAAGATTCGTTTAAATTACCCGCGGTGATCGTCGGCGTGATACTTGACGGTGCGCTTACGGCCATCAGGTTGTACGAGCCAGTACATACCCTTCACTTCATCGCCATGTCTAGCTTCATGATGACCTTTATGATCATGAGTATGGGGATCATTAACTTGGTATGAGAACTCATATGACGGATACGCCCACGCCTAGAAGGAACAAATTTTTGTTAATTTTATTATTATAATTTATATCCAAGGTTTTCTCCTATTTCTAATGATTATTAGAAGATCAATATAAGTTAAGGATGTAAGGGAGAATAAGTTAGTTTTTATTCAAATTATTTCCACCTGGTTGATGGTGGGAATTTTTATCAAAAACTCTGAACCGAAATTTTTTAAACTGTGTATGTAAAGTGTTGTTTAACGTGAGGGGTATTGGTTTTGCGCTTATCAAACCTACTGTAAAGCTTCGTGAGAATGGTTATTTCCTGATACATTGTTTTAGAGGCATCTGTCCAGCAGTGACTAAACCAGGACGTAACTTGTTGTAAAAGTACACAAATACTGATTTGCGGGTCATGGTTTCATATCCAATCAGAAATACTTTTTTTACAGTCTTTTTATTTTATACAAATAGGGTTTCAAAGGAGCAGTCCGTGCACAATTGGTGCAGGTTTGTTACACTGTGTCCCATAGAAACATATGTACTTCTATCCTTAGTTGAAAGTCAAAATCCAGAGGTAGTTTTACCCCTAAGGACTTATGTACGTCACTCACCCTACCAAACACAGAAGTATTAAGCCGCTATTTTACACTGGTCTACCTTCTATCCATTTGTGTATTATTGCAAAAGAAAATGGGTCTTTTTTGTTGTGAATTTGACACTACGTATCCTTTTTTATAGGATAGGGTGACAAACGAGCAAACAGTCCAACTGATGGTAAGTGGTTGCTGTGACCCATAGACATCTACATCTATTCTTTATAAAGAATCAAAATGCAGATACGTTGTTACCCGTAAAGGCTAAGATGGAATGCCTCTTGTCCAGTAAAAAGGGTCTCCGGTTCTCTACAATCACCATACGAAACACAGCATCGTTAAGCTGCTATTTTACGCTGGTATTCTGTGAGAGCGTGGTCCTTCCGCGGTCGAGTCGACCCATTCGTACTACAACTATACTATTAATATAGCTGCAGCATGGCTCTACCACGTGTCAGCGTTTCATCGAAACAACCCGTACAAGGAGATACAGTTGGAGGCTTTCGTATTGGACGTACAGTTATAACAACATAATATGTTCTGCGTTACATCATTTGCCGCCTTTTCTATAAATTTAAAAATTGCACCTTCCTATTACATTTGTTCTTGTTAAATTGTTGATAGGACCGATATCAGCAAGGAGAACATTCGAGTAATTCAATATTCAAAGCAAAAGAAGTAATTATTTCCAAAAATGAAATACTGGGATGATACAGGTCAAGCAACTATTACATTGAAGTATACTTACGTATTCTTTATGATGCTCAGGAGTATGAGATCCAACGTGTAAAAGTTCACCATGGTGACCATAATGTTCGTTAACATAGTATTCATGTCCTTGATGGCTTTCATCATCTTGCTCATGCTCGTGATGTTTATGATCCTGCTCATGGTGCTCTGGTTCCTTATGTTCATGAAGATGATACTCGGGTTCGTGGTGTTTGTGTTTCTCATGTTTCTTTTCATAGTGTTTCTCTTCATGGTGATTTTCAGGTACATAGTACTCATGCTTATCTTCGGAGTGAGGTTCGGGTTTGTAATGAACAACTTCATGATGGTCGGATTCAGGTGTATGATACAGTTCTTCTTTATGATAATCTTCATGATGTTTGTGATCCTTGTGATGAACATGATAAATAGGCTCAGAATATTCAACGTGGGCGTTAAATCTGAAAAAAAAATTAAGAACATTTGTAAGGCTAACAGTTACCATGTGACATGTGTTTTGTGTTTATTGTTGTTAAAATTTACAAATGTTATACGAAATATAGGGAAATGAGGAAAAGTGACTGGCTATTTGTGCTGTTTATGTATATTAATTTGATACAATAATATGCATGCTTAGCCCAGCATATTGTCACGTGAACACAAACATTGTCATAGCTGAATGAAGCTATCATAACAACGTAGTTTTAGTAAAAAAGATTCGTTTAAATTACCCGCGGTGATCGTCGGCGTGATACTTGACGGTGCGCTTACGGCCATCGGGTTGTACGAGCCAGTACATACCCTTCACTTTATCGCCATGTCTAGTTTCATGATGACCTTTATGATCATGAGTATGGGGATCATTAACTTGGTATGAGAACTCATATGACGGATACGCCCACGCCTAGAAGGAACAAATTTTTGTTAATTTTACTATTATAATCTATATCCAAGGTTTTCTCCTATTTCTAATGATTATTAGAAGATCAATATGAGTTAAGGATGTAAGGGAGAATAAGTTAGTTTTTATTCAAACTATCCCCACCTGGTCGATGGTGGGAATTTTTATCAAAAACTCTGAACCGAAATTTCCTAAATTGTGTATGTAAAGTATTGTTTAACGCGAGGGGTATTGGTTTTGCGGTTATCAAACCTATTGTAAAGCTTCGTGAGAATGGTTATTTCCTGATACATTGTTTTCGAGGCATCTGTCCAGCAGTGACTAAACCAGGACGTGACTTGTTGTAAAAGTACACAAGTACTGATTTGCGGGTCATGGTTTCATATCCAATCAGAAATACTTTTTTTTTGTCTTTTTATTTTATACAAATAGGGTTTCAAAGGAGAAGTCCGTGCACAATTGGTGCAGGTTTGTTACACTGTGTCCCATAGAGACATATGTACTTCTATCCTTAGTTGAATATCAAAATCCAGAGGCGGTTTTACCCCTGAGGACTTATGTACGTCACTCACCCTACGAAACACAGAAGTATTAAGCCGCTATTTTACACTGATCTACCCTCTATCCATTCGTGTGTTTTTGCAAAAGAAAATGGGTCTTTTTTGTTGTGAATTTGATACTACGAATCTTGACGTTTTTTTATAGGATAGGGTGACAAACGAGCAAACAGTCCACCTGATGGTAAGTGGTTGCTGTGACCCATAGACATCTACATCTATTCTCTATAAAGAATCAAAATGCAGATGCGTTGTCACCCGTAAAGGCTAAGATGGAATGCCTCTTGTCCAGTAAAAAGGGTCTCCGGTTCTTTACAATCACCATACGAAACACAGTATCGTTAAGCTGCTATTTTACGCTGGTATTCTGTGAGAGCGTGGTCCTTCCCCGGTCGAGTCGAACCATTCGTGCTACAACTATACTATTAATATAGCTGCAGCATGGCTCTACCACGTATCAGCGTTACATCGAAACAACCCATCCAAGGAGATACAGTTTGAGGCTTTCGTATTGGACGTACAGTTATAACAACATAATATGTTCTGCGTTACATCATTTGCCCCCTCTTCTATAAATTTAATAATTTAAAATTAAAAATTTTGTACAGCCGACTTCAATATAAGTTATTTAAGAATAACTTAAAAACTATTGGTCTGACCTTGATCAAATTCATATGGGACCACACGAGAAGTACCAGCTTTCAAATAAGAAAAGAATCATCGAAATCGGTTCACCCAGAAAAAAGTTCTGAGGTAACACACATAAAAAAAAAACGAAAAAAAAAAACATACAGTCGAATTGAGTACCGGCTCCTTTTTGGAAGTCGGCAGAAAATTGCACCTTCCTATTACATTTGTTCTTGTTAAATTGTTGATAGGACCGATATCAGCAAGGAGAACATTCGAGTAATTCAATATTCAAAGCAAAAGAAGTAATTATTTCCAAAAATGAAATACTGGGATGATACAGGTCAAGCAACTATTACATTGAAGTATACTTACGTATTCTTTATGATGCTCAGGAGTATGAGATCCAACGTGTAAAAGTTCACCATGGTGACCATAATGTTCGTTAACATAGTATTCATGTCCTTGATGGTTTTCATCATCTTGCTCATGCTCGTGATGTTTATGATCCTGCTCATGGTGCTCTGGTTCCTTATGTTCATGAAGATAATACTCGGGTTCGTGGTGTTTGTGTTTCTCATGTTCCTTTTGATAGTGATTCTCTTCATGGTGATTTTCAGGTACATAGTACTCATGCTTATCTTCGGAGTGAGGTTCGGGTTTGTAATGAACAACTTCATGATGTTCGGATTCAGGTATATGATACAGTTCTTCTTTATGATAATCTTCATGATGTTTGTGATCCTTGTGATGAACATGATAAATAGGCTCAGAATATTCAACATGGGCGTTAAACCTGAAAAATAAAAATTAAGAACATTTGTAAGGCTAACAATGGGTTACACGTTACCATTACAGCATTTCGACATTTGTTTCGTGTTTTATTGTTGTTAAAATTTACAAATGTTATACGAAATATAGGGGAAATGAGGATAAGTGACTTGGTATTTGTGCTGTTTATGTATATTAATTTGACACAATAATATGCATGCTTAGCTCAGCATATTGTCACGTGAACACAAAATTGTCATAGCTGAATGAAGCTATCATAACAACGTAGTTTTAGTAAAAAAGATTCGTTTAAATTACCCGCGGTGATCGTCGGCGTGATACTTGACGGTGCGCTTACGGCCATCGGGTTGTACAAGCCAGTACATACCCTTCACTTCATCGCCATCTCTAGCTTCATGATGACCTTTATGATCATGAGTATGGGGATCATTAACTTGGTATGAGAACTCATATGACGGATACGCCCACGCCTAGAAGGAACAAATTTTTGTTACTTTTACTATTATAATCTATATCCAAGGTTTTCTCCTATTTCCAATGATTATTAGAAGATCAATATAAGTTAAGGATGTAAGGGAGAATAAGTTAGTTTTTATTAAAATTATCCCCACATGTTCGATGGTGGGAATTTTTATCAAAAACTGAACCGAAATTTCCAAAACTGTGTATGTAAAGTATTGTTTAACGCGAGGGGTATTGGTATTGCGCTTATCAAACCTACGGTAAAGCTTTGTGTGAATGGTTATTTCCTGATACATTGTTTTAGAGGCATCTGCCCAGTAGTGACTAAACCAGGACGTGACTTGTTGTAAAAGTACACAAGTACTGTTTTGCGGGTTATGGTTTCATATCCAAACAGGAATACTTTTTTTTTACAGTCTTTTTATTTTATACAAATAGGGTTTCAAAGGATCAGTCCGTGCACAATTTGTGCAGGTTTGTTACACTGTGTCCCATAGAGACATATGTACTTCTATCCTTAGTTGAAAATCAAAATCCAGAGGTGGTTTTCCCCTGAGGACTTATGTACGTCACTCACCCTACGAAACACAGAAGTATTAAGCCGCTATTTTACACTGATCTACCCTCTATCCATTCGTGTGTTTTTGCAAAAGAAAATGGGTCTTTTTTGTTGTGAATTTGATACTACGAATCTTGACGTTTTTTTATAGCATAGGGTGACAAACGAGCAAACAGTCCACCTGATGGTAAGTGGTTGCTGTGACTCATAGACATCTATATCTATTCTCTATAAAGAATCAAAATGCAGATGCGTTGTCACCCGTAAAGGCTAAGATGGAATGCCTATTGTCCAGTAAAAAGGGTCTCCGGTTCTCTACAATCACCATACGAAACACAGCATCGTTAAGCTGCTATTTTACGCAGGTATTCTGTGAGAGCGTGGTCCTTCCCCGGTCGAGTCGACCCATTCGTACTACAACTATACTATTAATATAGCTGCAGCATGGCTCTACCACGTATCAGCGTTACATCGAAACAACCCGTCCAAGGAGATACAGTTGGAGGCTATCGTATTGGACGTACAGTTATAACAACATAATATGTTCTGCGTTACATCATTTGCCCCCTCTTCTATAAATTTAAAAATTGCACCTTCCTATTACATTTGTTCTTGTTAAATTGTTGATAGGACCGATATCAGCAAGGAGAACATTCGAGTAATTCAATATTCAAAGCAAAAGAAGTAATTATTTCCAAAAATTAAATACTGGGATGATACAAGTCAAGCAACTATTACATTGAAGTATACTTACGTATTCTTTATGATGCTCAGGAGTATGAGATCCAACGTGTAATAGTTCACCATGGTGACCATAATGTTCGTTAACATAGTATTCATGTCCTTGATGGTTTTCATCATCTTGCTCATGCTCGTGATGTTTATGATCCTGCTCATGGTGCTCTGGTTCCTTATGTTCATGAAGATGATACTCGGGTTCGTGGTGTTTGTGTTTCTCATGTTCCTTTTCATAGTGTTTCTCTTCATGGTAATTTTCAGATTCATGGTACTCATGTTTATCTTCGGAGTGAGGTTCAGGTTTGTAATGAACAGCTTCATGATGTTCGGATTCAGGTACATGATGCAGTTCTTCTTTATGATGATCTTCATGATGTTTGTGATCTTTGTGATGACCATGATAAATAGGCTCAGAATATTCAACGTGGGCGTTAAATCTGAAAAAAAATTAAGAACATTTGTAAGGCTAACAGTTACCCGTTACTATTACAGCACTTTGACATGTGTTTTGTGTTTATTGTTGTTAAAATTTACAAATGTTATACGAAAGGGTAAATGAGGAAAAGTGACTTGGTATTTGTGCTGTTTATGTATATTAATTTGACGTGAATACAAAATTGTCATAGCTGAATGAAGCTATCATAACAATGTAATTTTAGTAAAAAAGATTCGTTTAAATTACCCACGGTGCTGGTCGGCATGATACTTGACGGTGCGCTTACGGCCATCGGGTTGTACAAGCCAGTACATACCCTTCACTTCATCGCCATGTCTAGTTTCATGATGACCTTTATGATCATGAGTATGGGGATCATTAACTTGGTATGAGAACTCATATGACGGATTCGTCCATGCCTAGAAGGAACAAATTTTTGGTCATAGCAATCTAATTTAATATAATATATATTACTTGAGAGATACATTGCGTTTTCATGCGATGGCCAAGTCAATTTATTTATTTAAAATATAAAAGATTTTTAATATTGATATGGTCACTATAAGATGTTGTTAGGTTAGATAATTACGTAATAACTTAAGATAGAAAGACCCTTAAGTAGGGACTGAATAAATTAACCGACTTGGTATTACATGGATCTCACAACTTTTTACGGTAGAAGAATTGAGTTGCGAGACTTGGTATTTTTTACAAGTTATGTTTTTGATCGCATCTCATTTTTTTATAGATAGTTATATCTAGGTACCTATCTAAACCTATTATTCCATTATATTACACATATATAGGTACATTGATTCATTCACTGCAAATGTAACTTTGTAATCCTATATTTTTATATGGGATTACAAAGCTATTTATGCAGTTGGTGTATCTCGAAAACTGGACCGCAATTGCAAAATATTTAAATTTTTTCTTGATTTATATACTAAACAATAGTCGCATTCCAAATTTCAACCTTCTATGTCTGCTAGAAGTGCCTTAGAGTTTTGATGATCGGTCAGTCGGTGAGTGACAAAATTAAGAAAATTTGACTAGTTATAATTCTTAAAATACTTGTTCAAATTTAATAAAATTTGAAACATATCGAGATTATACAATGCTTACTTGGTTACTGAAAATACAGGCTTCTAGTTTTATCCACAACGAAGTTATAGGGTTTCGAAAATGGCCTGAACTACTTCGAGAAAAGGATGGTATGGTAGTGCCGCTTTTTTGCTCGGCTTGGCGGGGGCACTGCCGTACCCCCAGATATCCAAGGTTTTCTCCTATTTTTAATGATTATTAGAAGATTAATATAAGTTAAGGGTGTAAGGGAGAATAAGTTAGTTTTTCTTAAAACTATCCCCACCTGGTTGATGGTGGGAATTTTAATCAAAAACTCTGAACCGAAATTTCCTAAACTGTTGATGTAAGGTGTTGTTTAGCGCGAGGTTATTGGTTTTGCGCTTACCAACCCGATTGTAAAGCGTCATTAGAATTATTATTTCTTGGCACATTTTACGGCACTTTTTTATAGTAGATGGGGTAAACGAGCATACGGCTCACCTGAACACGACAGTAAGTGACTATCGCCGCCCATGAACAACTGCGACCAGGGGAATCGCAGGTGCGTTGCCAGCCTTTTAGTAAGGAGTAAGCTCTTTTCTTGAAGGTCCCTAAGTCCTATTGGTCTGTAAAAAATGCCGGTAAACTATTCCACAGAGAGGATGTACGAAGAAGGAAACTCCTAGTAAAACGTACAGCGGTGGACCGCCGAGCATACAGTTGGTGTGGATGGTATCGCGAGTTTTGGCAGTGTCTGGCAATGATTAAACCAGGACGTGGCTTAGTGTTAACTACTGATTTGTGGGTCATGGTTTCATATCCTAGCAGAAATATAATGTTTTTGTACAAGTATGGTGTCAATAAGTACTCGGAGCACATTATTTATACGTGGTAGAGCCATGCTGCAGCTACATTAATAGTATAGTTGTAGCACGAATGGGTCAGCTCGACCGGGGAAAGACCACGCTCTGACAGAATACCAGCGTAAAAAAGCAGCTTAATCCTGCTTTCGTATGGTGAGTGTAGAGAACCGAAAACCCTTTTTACTGGAAAAGAGGCATTCTATTTTAGTCCTTACGGCTGACAACGCATCTGCATTTTAGTTCGCAAACGAAGATAGATGTAGATGTCTATGGGCCACAGCAACCACTTACCATCAGATGGACTATGTGCTCGTTTGTCACCCTTATTCTATAAAAAATAGGTGCAAGTTGGTTAATACTATGTCCCATAGGTACATACTTCTATCCTAAGTTAAAAATCAAAATGCTGAGGCGATTTTACCCCTGATGACTTATGTTGGTACATGTGCGTCACACACCCTAAGAAACACGGAAGTATTAAGCCGCTATTTTTCACTGGTCGACCCTATCCATTTGTGTATTTTTGCTAAAGAAAATAGGTCTTTTTTTTGGGAAATTCACACTCCTGACGTATCAACGTTACATCGAAACAACACACCTAAGGATTAGTTGAAGGCTTTCGTATTGGATGTACAGTTATAACAACATAATATGTTCTGCGTTACATCATTTGCACCCTCTTCTATAAATTTAAAAATTGCAACGTCCTATTACATTTACTCATGTTAAATTGTTGATAGGACCGATATCGGCAAGGAGAACATTCGAGTAATTCAATATTCAAAGCAAAAGAAGTAATTATTTCCAAAAATGAAATACTGGGATGATACAGGTTAAGCAACTATTACATTGAAGTATACTTACGTATTCTTTATGATGCTCAGGAGTATGAGATCCAACGTGTAAAAGTTCTGGTGTGTGATGTATTATCAAATTCTGCCCTAAGACTCCATGATGGTCATTGCTTAAGGCGACCGAAGCAACACCAAGCAAAGTTAGTGCCTGAAAATTGATTTCTTGATGATACAATAAGTTGTATACCATTTGACTACAAGTCTGATAGTTTTCTGAGTCGGATTTAATATTAATATTAAATATTATATTAAAAAAATTATATTTTATATTATAATATAAAAAATTAGAGCCACGCAGCAGTTTTTCCTGTTGCATGTATGGGCCGGCTCGAGCCGGGTTGGTACCACGACCTCACAGAATACCGGCGTGAAGTAAAAGCTTTGCTTCTGCGTTTCGTCTGGTGAGTGCAGGTGGCCGGAGGCCCAATTCCACCCCCCCTCCCCCATCAACATGGTAGCGGAATTACACGAAGAACTACCCCAGGAGGGTACCAGCAACCCTGGAGAATCCCTCGCTGAGCATCCACGACCATGTTATTCCGATCCTGAGCGTGGGTGCTCAGGCTGCCCCGCGTATTCTGGGGGGGGCAAAATTCCGCTCAAAAGCATTACTGCTAGGGGCAAACTGAGCAAGAACACCAAGGCGACCCCTGCCACGCTATCCGTGAATTTCTGCAACATCAGGGGACTTCACTCTAACCTAAACGCCGTCCACTACCATCTCGAGACGGCGAAGCCGGCCTTGCTCTTTCTGACCGAGACGCAGGTTTCCTCTCCGGCTGATATTTCGTATCTCTCCTACCCGGGGTACAAATTGGAGCATTCCTTTGTGCCTCGGGCTGGAGTTAGCGTGTTTGTCAGAGAGGACATCTGTTCTCGACGCCTCGGCAGTCTTGAACGTTCGGACCTGTCCATCCTTTGGCTACGCGTAGACAGCGACGACCATCCGCGCGTCTACGGGTGCCTCTATAGGTCCCATAGCGGTAATGCCGAAACAGACCGACTCATCGACCACGTCCAAATGGCTACAGATTTCTTGCTACAACAGGTCCCATCCGCAGAGATCGTGATCCTTGGCGATTTTAACGCCCACCATGCCGAATGGCTCGGTTCACGTCTAACCGATCATGCGGGGAGATCTGTTTATGATTTTGCCTTGGCATATGGTCTGACACAACTGGTTACTTCGCCTACGCAGATTCCAGATGTGGAGGATCATACACCTTCCCTGTTGGACCTTCTGCTGACCTCTCATCCGGACGGATATCAGGTTTCCGTCGATGCCCCTCTCGGCTCTTCGGACCATTGTCTGATCCGGAGTGTGGTGCCACTCACGCTCCCTTCGCGGTTCCGTTCTGCAGGTTGCCGCCGTGTTTGGCATTACAGGTCGGCGGATTGGGACGGAATGCGGTCTTTCTTTGCATCCTACCCATGGGGGTGAGTTTGCTTCTCGCCGGATGATCTCAGCGCTGTTGCTGACCCTGTCACTGATGTGGTGCTACAGGGAATGGAACTATTTATTCCATCATCTGTGGTAACCATCGAAGGCAGATCTCAGCCTTGGTTTGGTCGCTCCTGTAAGACTACATTACGCAGTAAGCAGCAGTGTTATCAAGCCTGGGCTGCGGCTTCGGCGACTCGGGATGTAAACACCAGCACACTTAAAAAGAAGTATAACTTCGCCTCTAGGTCCTTCAAAAAAGTTATTGCCAAGGCAAAGTCAGAGCACATAGGCAGAATTGGCGAGAAACTAGTTCGCCTTCCTTCGGGAACCCGTGCATTCTGGTCTCTCGCCAAGGCTGTCCAAGGGAATTTCTGTAAGCCATCACTACCATCTCTGCACAGGGAGGATGACTCACTGGCCCATGACGCAAAAGACAAAGCCGACCTTTTAGGCTCCCTTTTTGCGTCCAACTCGACTCTTGATGACGGGGGGAAAACACCGCCGACCATCCCGCGGTGTGAGTGCTCCATGTCGGATGTGCTGTTCTCACAGCGCTCGGTCCGCAAAGAACTGCTCTCTCTGGACATCCAGAATTCGAGTGGGCCTGACGGAATCCCCCCAATTGTGCTGAGGACGTGTGCTCCGGAGTTGGCACCGGTCCTAACGTGTCTTTTCCGGTACTCCTACACCCAGGGCGTAGTCCCGAATTCATGGAAGACAGCTTTTGTCCACCCGATCCCTAAAAAAGGCGACCGCTCAGACCCATCCAACTATAGGCCTATCGCGATCACCTCCTTGTTCTCCAAAATAATGGAATCCATTATTAACTGCCAGCTCATCCGGTACCTTGAGGATCACCAGCTGATTAGTGACCGCCAATACGGTTTTCGTCGGGGTCGATCAGCTGGTGATCTTCTGGTCTACCTGACCCATAGATGGGCGGAGGCAGTAGAGTCCAAGGGGAAGGCGTTGGCCGTTAGTCTGGACATTGCGAAGGCCTTCGATCGGGCTTGGCACAAAGCGCTTCTTTCGAAGCTCCTTTCCTATGGGCTTCCCGAGAAATTGTGCAATTGGATCACCAGCTTCCTTGCAGATCGGAGCATCAAGGTCGTTGTAGACGGTGCATGCTCTGACTACAAGCCTATTAACGCTGGTGTTCCACAAGGCTGTGTGCTATCACCAACGCTGTTTCTTCTGCATATCAATGATATGTTGCTAACTGGTAACATTCATTGCTATGCGGATGACAGCACTGGTGATGCTCTATACACCGGCCGTGGCAATATTTCTCGGGAAAACGTCGCTGAGTACCGGAACAAACTTGTGTCTGAAGTCGAGTCTTTGCTGAACAAAGTCTCGGATTGGGGGCGACTAAATCTAGTCCAATTTAATCCTCAGAAGACACAAGTTTGCGCGTTTACCGCTAAAAAGAACCCCTTTGTCGTATCTCCTCAGTTTCAAGGCACTCCCCTTCTTGCCTCAGCCAGTATCGGTATCCTCGGAGTCGACATATCGAGTGACGTGCAGTTTCGTGGTCACTTGGAAGGGAAGGCCAAATTGGCCTCTAAAAAGCTTGGCGTGCTCCGCAGAGCGGGACAGTATTTCATGCCGGCACACCGCCTGCTACTTTACAATTCGGCCTCACATGGAATACTGTTCCCATCTCTGGGCAGGGGCTCCCCAGTGCCAGCTCCTTCCACTTGACCGCATCCAACGCAGAGCGGCTCGAATTGTCGACGACCAAGCCCTTTCCGATCGGCTCGATTCATTGGCACTGCGAAGAGATGTTGCATCCCTTTGCATTTTCTTTCGCATCTACCATGGGAAGTGCTCTGAGGAATTGTTCGGATTAATCCCAGCCGCCAAATTTCACGAACGCACATCGCGGCAGAACTCCCGATACCATCCACACCATCTGGATGATTGGCGGTCCACCACTGTGCGATTTAGAAGATGTTTTCTTCCTCGCACGACCTCTTTGTGGAATCGATTACCATCAGCGATTTTTCCGGACCGATACGACTTAGGGACCTTCAAGAAAAGAGCGTACTCCTTTTTAAAAGGCCGGCTACGCATCTGCGATTCCCCTGGTGTTGCAGTTGTTCATGGGCGGCGGTAGTCACTTACCATCAGGTGAGCCGCATGCTCGTTTGCCCCCTCTCCTATAAAAAAAAAAAATTTATCTGGTAAGGTATATTTTATTAAATCTGCAACGTAGGTAATACATTCGAATACTATAAATGTCTACATATTTACCACTTTGAGCCTATTGAAACTAAATCAAATGATAAATGGAGAGATATAATTGAAATATTATATTATCAAAGTGTACGGCGAGTTGTGAGGTAATACATAAATTTCTCATATTTTATTTTCATTTCATTAATTTCTTTGCATTTTTATATGCACATGCACTATTTGTTTCAATTAAAAAATACATTTGTTTAAAATTTATCAAACCAAACAGCTAAAATTAGTGCTGACTTAAAATGCTTGTACATTTATTTTTTAACTAATTTATACGTACATGTATGTTGCAAAGGAATTCTAGCGAAAACTTGACCGTCGGCTGATTGTTGCTCCCGTTTAAATTAATGGATTAAAGTGGATTTTGATACGTAAAAGTGACGCTTATTTTGTGCACACTGTCTGCACATGTGAACTATTAGTGGCAACAAAAACAAGTTCACCAATGTTGATATAAGCCTCACTTTATTTTGTTCGCTTAGGCCCCATAAGACCTTGAGATACTGCATTGCTTGTTATTTGCATACGTTATCGTTGCGAGCTTAAGCCAAAAGTCAAGTGATCTCTTTATTTTGTGATTAAGCTATCATCGAAATATCCCGAAAACTCCGCAATGTTATGCATAATATTGTCAGAAAGTTTGTGAAGACAAAATTATTATATTAAATTATCATAAATAAAGGATGATTCCTATTACTTGAACCTGGCATAAGTAAAACCATATGAGTCCATTACCAATGAAAAAAGTATACAAAACCCTTAAGAACAAAATGATAAGAAACTAAAATGAAGATAAATAAAATAACAGTACCTTCAAAATCATTTTCAGGTGATAAGGCGACGCTTTGAGCTCAACTAATATCAATTTCGGCATCTTCTAGTTTTTATAGAGAAGATAATTTTATTGTTGTATTTCAAATATCTGATTTCCTATCCACGCAACCATCATTAACGTCAGTTTCTCAATTCTTAAACGTTCAGGGGTGCATTTATGTATATCTGAAAATTAAACGTTACATACATCTAATACTCAAGATTCATGTTCCAATAGAACACATCGCGTGTGTAGGTAATTGTTACAAATTTAACACAGGTGTGGTTCGATTTTAAAAACATACAAAGTAATTTTAAGGTATAACAGGTATTAATTCTTTTAGATTCATAAGTTACTCATCATTATAATTCACAATGTCTATCTATCAGTCTGTTAGAAAGGCTTCCCACAAGTAGATCAAAAATTAAAAAAAAGACATTTCCAATAATTTTAAGTCATTTAGCAATCGTTATAACTTTTAAAATAATGCGGAAACATTAATTTAAAATATAAAAATCTTGGATTAGGGGCGACAAAATTTAGTCCAGTTCAATCCTCAAAAGGTACAAGCTTGCACGTTTCCCGCCAAAAGGTTCCGGAATCATCTGATGAAAACATCTTAGATAAAGTGGTAACTGACCTTACAGGTAAGCGTACGATAACCTTCAACCACCGGAATTTTCTT